TCCACGTTTCGGCGAGCTCGCTTTCTTCATCTGCGCATGCCAACCCAGCTTCCTCGGATTCTTCCACTGATTCCTCATCAGTGCGACCAAAGCCCACATGCCGAAAGCAGTTGGCTATCGTCGACTGCTTGACGTTTTCCCACGATGCTTTGAGCATTTGGATGGCTCCCAAGAGATCGATTGTCAGATCTTGGCCCATACGGAGTTTTACGAGCAGAATGTCGATCAGCCGACTCTTGTAGTTAGACTTAAATGTGCGGATAACACCCTGGTCCAACGGTTGGAGCTTCGAAATAGTGTTAGACGGCAGGAGTACCACTTCGATGTTGCTCAGCTGGGCGTCGGTGTGGTGTGCCGTGCAATTATCGACAATAAGGCATACCTTCCGTCCTTGATACGCCAGGTCCGAATCCCACGCCTTCCGCCACTTGAGGAAAATATCCCTCGTCATCCATGCCTTCTTGTTCCATGCATAAGTCACCTGAATATTGGGGCAGTTCCGCATGCACCTCGGGGTTTTAAACTTGCCAATTACAAGTGGCCGCAGCTTCGTGCTTCCATCCATATTGGCAGCCAATAGGACCGTCACACGGGCCTTGCCTTGCTTGCTTCCGTGGCATTTGTCCCCCCGAGTGTCCAGTGTTTGCCGCGGGAGCATTTGCCAGAATAGGCCCGTCTCGTCAGCATTAAAGATCTGCTTCGGCTCATACTTGGCGAGAACTTTGGGCCACTCATGATCAAGCCACTTCTGAATTTCTTCGTCATTGGCGTACTCACTCTCTCCCGACACAGTCTTCCCGACAATGTTGAAGCGAGCCTTGAAACGTTGCAGCCAACCGCTACTAGCACTGAAATCCTTGGCGCCAAGAATGATTGCAAAGTTCTTTGCCTTCTGCTGCAACATCGGTCCTGATACAGGAATATTTCGGGCCTTTGCATCGATGAACCACTTGTGGAGCGACTTCTCAACATCTTTAAAAGCAACTTTGCGTACACGCTGAGCGCCCGGGTCCTGGCTCTTCTCGGCCTTGGCCTTTATGTCGCTTTTGTTTCTGAGCAGGGTACTCAATGTGCTCCTTGGTATGCGTAACTCATCCGCGACGCTCGACTTCTCACCATTCTCGACGCGCTGTATTGCTTCCAGTTTTGCAGCAAAAGTCAAGGTCTTCCGTTTCTTCGCGTTTGCAGCCATCACTACACACACCACAGCGCGCAACAGGCCTAACGCTGAACACACGAACACTGCGAGCACAACGACCGATGCCTGCCGATGCTACGGGGGAGGAGCTTGCAACAAGTGCGCAGTGTGCCGTTGACACCATAGAGACTGTTACGACTGCAAGCTGCAAGCACTGCAAGGCTGCGGCGCGCGCACGACGCTACGTTAAAGTGGCGCTCTCAGCGCCTTCGATGTGTGCAGCATTCGTAAACGCCCACCGCTCTACCGCTACTTTTGAGAGTTGCGGAAAAGCTCGTCGCCTGTCAATGGAGCGTGGGCGGTTTGGGGTGGCTGAGTTCGATATATCCATTATATGTCAAACTTTGTTCGAAATAAAAATAAAAAATGCATGCGATTTCCCGCATGATATAGGAACCGTTCGATGTAGGCAATAATTCGATATATCTGTGTTCAATATATTGAGGTTTGACTGTATTAGACGGCATGTAACTTTTCTCTAGAGTGGTCTCACTGCAGTGGAAAAATGCTAGCCGTGAAAACACCTAATTAAATGTGTATTAGTTTGAATGTATTCCTTGTAAAGGTGGTTTCACTGCAGTGAGGTAGTGCCAAGCCATGAAAACATGAACCCAGCAGAAATCTGCACTGTCACCAATGAACATATTACCCTCACATGACCTCATTCTTTAAGTTTGAAGGCTTGTTATACCGATTTATACGCTTTAAGTATAACAAATTTTAAAACGTAACATAATTTACAGTTATCCCTTGCATTCCACCGAGAGTAATTCTGCTACTATTCCAAGTTGTTTCCACTTGCCTTGAAGGAAAAATGGCATTTGCACAGGCCTTGCCTCAATTAAAAATATATATATAGATATTGTGCTGATTAGTGACGTCAAATGAAGAAATGCACCTATTTTTCTATAATTTGAGATATGCATACACAATTCGAATTAGATTCACAATTATTCGACCAAAATCACCACCCGTTTCGAACCTAAAATTCCCTTGTCACACAAGCCTAAAGATAATGTAGGTCTCCTATAATTGTTTTGAGTAGCCTTGATAAAGAACTGTGGTAACCTTGACCGGGGTGCGCACAGTCAAGTGTAGACTAGTGATGTGCACTCCAAGACCACCCATAGTCTGAACTGCCTGTCACCACACAGCATCGTGCATGTACGTTTTGAAGGCTCAAAGCTGTGGCTTTAACTAGCAAATGTTAACACGTGCACCACACAAGTAAATTGCAAAGTGTTGGTCATCACCTGTCTCTTGCCCGAGGTCTCCACAATTGCTAGAGCTATCTCGGAGGCCTCGATTTTGCCTTTTGTCGCACATCGAGAAAGTGGGCACTCACGTATCCCCCATATGCAATATACACATACGGAACACAATACAGTCGCCGACCGATTTTTCGGACCTGGCGGGGACCGAAAAAAAGTACGAAAAATCGAACAGTCCGAAAAATTCGTTTTCGCCGAAAATCTGAAGTTTATTGCATCAGGCAGGTTTAAAAAAGTCCTTGATGCTGCCTTGCCTCAAACTACGCTTGGAGGAAATTTGGTTTGCCCGTATTTGCGCCAAGGTGACATCGTCGCCATAAACGCTCGACAAAATTGTCACCGCGTTGGCGATCTCCGCCGCCGACGGCTGCGGGCGGTTGTCGTTGTCGTCATCCGAGCCGCTCTCCGGCTTCGGGACAACCTGGCGAAGAATTTCGTCGTCAGTGGCCTCCGCGCACGAAACAATGTCGTCGTCCGCACGAGTGAAGTCTTTAAATGTCATTGTGGCAGGTAGAGAATCCTTCTTTCGCCTCCTCCCCGTGCGATGTGATGACGATAGTGCTGACCGAAGACGAAAAAACGGCATCCATCACCGCGTCTTTTAAAAAGCAAACACGGCCTCCGAAACTTAAAATATGGCGTGCGCATTCCAATCTCGGAGGCAGGAAAAGCATTTGAAGACCAAGCTTAGCCAAGCCGACAAACAATCCAACATGGCGGCGTTCACAATGGCTTGGGGCGTGGCACAAAACGAGCGATTTAGTCCGAAAAATCGAACTTTCAGGGGCAAATTCGCCCGAAAAATCAGTCGAAACAATGCATTAGCTCTATGGGATCCCTGACGGTGCATTTATGAAGTCCGGAATATCCAACAAGTCCGAATTTTTGGAGTCCGGAAAATCGGTCGGCGACTGTAATTGACAGAACATTTGAGAAGGCGTGATAAAACTGCTCAATGCGCAGGTAGCAACAGATGGATGGAGAATGCAACAGCAAAGGTGAAGATCATTGGGGCCATTCGTTCCTCATAAAGCAAGCGTCATACCACGGATGGTAACATACATGGCCCATGATTGTATTTCATCACTTTGTGTGTATGCCCATATTTAACATATTCAGTAGTTACAGAATTCTTGTCAGAGTGCTTGCCCTGAACTCGATATCATGTGATGATCACCTGCACTTGCGAGTTTCAGCACGCCAAAATAACTATACTTTGTATTGCACATGCAGAGCACTTTGATTAGCTTTTTAATTTCTGAAGCGGATGTGAACAGAAGCTTTCCAGGTCCTTAATTTTCCATGCCTCGATACCATTGAATAAGTACATAGTGACTAACGCACTTTCACTTGCAGACAACTCTCTTAACACTACGCAGTTATGGCCAAGGCAGCGACGAGAGCGCTGGTGGCGACATTTCTCGCAGCAATGCAACATGAATTTGAATATTTCTCAAATATTACTAAATATTTTTCGAATAGTTAAAAGTGAAATTGTGAGGGGGCAAAATGTTGTAGATGATTCCTGAGCATATTTGTATGAGATATAGCAAAATGTAAGTGTTTCTTTTCTCTAGGTTGATAAGAACTAGCGGGATAGTATTTTATAGCTGTCTTATCAAGAATGAGGCAATGCTGATGCCAAATTGTATTACAGTATATCCCGGATATATCAAACTTCGATATAATGATTTATTGACTATACCAAACAGTTGAGATATCCACTGCAATAGTATGGGACCAGTGCACCCATATATCGAACTCCTGCACAGCGGGATATCCGCTATGTCCTTGTGCCGTGCCAAAGCCCAGAAAGTTTCCTAACAAATATTGATCAATTTTTGGCCATGTTCTCACAAATCTCGGTCCCTTTTCAAGCACAGGTGATGAAAAAGATGGTGTTATTCCATTAGGCTGATCTGGTTTGTTGTGCAGCACTTGCCAGTGCACCAGTATGTTTGATACATGGTCTGCAGGTCTTAACGTACAGACGTAGTGTTTTCAAAAAGACCAATTGCCAAGGACCCTAAAATCAAAATGCAAACCGACTGCCCACATTGACCTGCTCTATTTTCCTTAATATTGTAGGCCGTCACCTTTGATTTAGAACTCCAATAATCCATCGACTTTCGATTGCCACATGCGTTATTACGAGACTCACGTAAAGTGCTCTCACCACGCTGTAAGCAATGTGTAGCTCAATAAAACATGTTGTTGGGCTAGTTGGTCATTCGTCATATTGTAAGATAATTAGCACAACCGTGACTCCCACGAACACTCACTCATGCACTCGAGTAGCACATACGACACTCAGCGCTGAGCTGTTGCGCATGCACAGTAACGGTTTACGCACACTGAATTGAGCTTTGCCATAAGCTGCTTCTCATCTAAAATAAGCTCGTTAGGCTGAAACGATGACATGGTTCAGTCCAACGTGCTATACTCAGGCATATCTTTCATACAACAACACAACACGAATTATGCTGCAAAAACAAGGTTCAAGAGAAAGGAGGGACGAAAGAAAAACAGACCAGTCGCCTTCGCTTTCCTCGTCGTAAAATCGGTGGTGTGACAAGGCGAGAGCTGCTGCTATGTGATGTTGAGGAGACCCTATCAACCTCCACGTTGGAGACATCCTTTAGCTGTAGCACGCCATCTGGACAAAATGCACAAGCACTTATCATGCCTTTGTCTGCACAGGCACACGAGGTCATTCATTGGAGGGGGGAGGCACTGCTTTTTAAAAACATTTGTTTAATTGTGGAATGATATTTTAAACGTTGTGAGGTTATGTACACTGGTACACGGGTTTCAAACATGCAGTGTATGTTCTAAACCCATTCGACCAAAAGTTATGATTGGCCAATCATCCACAAGTGAGTGAACATCAAGTTCGGACTTGACTCACAATTGTGCATCACTTTAGTTTACAACTCCATTTCTGTGTTATTGCAAAAAATTCGCATACTACGTTGATTAACTCTCTCTTTTTAGGATAGCTCTCACTTGGCAAAAAGCACATGAAATATCTAATATGCTGAAAACTACATACTGTGCAGGAAAAATCACTGCATATTTCAAGTCACACACATTTAGACGTAAACTTACCATCAAAGCCAAGCAAGGTTCAAAAGAGCAGTTGCAAACAGCGGCCTTGAATAATTCAACTGCGTGGCAGGCTAGATGACTTCTCACAGTGTTTTCCCAAAAGAACTTACGAGAAAGCCTAGTGCGCAGCAACTGCCTTTTTGCCAAGTTTGGTCTACACACCAGAAGTTGTGCACTGCTTCGACATGGTACACGTCTGCATTCCAAAGAGAGTTCATAGTGGTGGATGTAAAAATAATCAATTATGCTTAGTAACTGCATCCCTTTGCTTTCCGAGCACCAAGTGATTGCTTTAATTCTATTTTTATAGAAATTTATCATAACTGGTTACATGGATAGTGGCATAATATGACTGCAGTTGCAACAAATACATCACGTGTGCGCTCAAGCCTACTTACAACGATACCAGTTTTAACAATATATCGAAAAAAACAATAAGTGGCTGTTATAACATGTATGTCTTCTACAGTGAAACAAAATGACCACTACAAGTTCACACGTCTTATTGTCGTTCTGGCAGATATCACTGCCGAGGATGTTCTTGCATTTCTGATTTTAGGAGAATTCGTACCTTGCACAGCTTTGCTACTCAGCAAGCTCACGAAATCTATGAGGCATACTGCCTCATCATAAAAATTGACAGATGCATGAGTACACCTTCACTGGCTTACGTGTGACGGAAACAGATAGTATGTGCGTTAGTAGCGCTGTCTGCACCGCTTTGTGCAGCACTGCCTGCGCGTGTATTCCATCTCATTGGTCGGTAAGCTTTCAGTTGATGTTTAGTGCCTGTCCTGTTTGTGTCTCTTCTCTCTCCCCCCCCCCCCCCTTTTTTTGGTGTGTGGATGTGTGTGAACAAGCGCACAGGCTTGTTCAGTTGCACCTGCTCAGATGCCCAAGTTCTGACAGTAAAACAAGTCAACCTGGCTACTAGACGTCTCGAATGAGGGGCATGCAAATACAGTCGATCCTGGATATATCATATTATTGGCTATATTGAACAGTTGAGAAATCTCCTTGACTTCGCCATGCAAAAGTATGGGATCCGTGCACCACTATATCGAACTCTCGCGCAGCAGGACATCTGCTATATCAAACGCTGTGCCGTGCCGAAGCCTAGAAAGTACATCTTTCCTAGCAAATATTGATCAATATTCAGCCGCGTTCTAACAAGTTTTGATCTCCTTGTGGCGCAAGTGACGAAAATGCAGTATTATTGCATCACGCTGATTTGGTTCGTTTCGTGGCGCTTGCGAGTGCACCTGTACGTCTGATGCACCATCTGCAGTTCTTAACACAGGGGCATGGTGCTTTTCGAAAAACACCAATTGCCAAGGGCACCAAACTGAGAATGCAAAGTGAGCTTAGCGATCTCGTTGCAATGTTCGCATTTCTTTCCTTGTTAGCGCACAATGACCCACGAGCCTGAAAAGCATGGCCTTCGAGATGTTCAACCTCGTAAGATATTTTTGGTATTTTCGGTTTTAAAACGCACATCTCGGAGGCTAAGTTCTTTCTAGCTTTTTGCATTAAAGATGCTGAAAGCAACGGCTGCCAGCTTCAAAAGCCAAAGTGACATCGATATCGCCAACATTTAGACTGTGGAAACTCGACGTTGTCCTAAGCGCTTTCTCACCTCATTCCTGATAAATCCTCATTCTGGAAGTGTGGCAGTGTGGGCTAGTTGGTATGACATGACGATAGTTATAGCACGAAAGCAGAACGACAAAGAGACAAGAAGGAGACGAGCGCTGGTCTCCTCCTTCTCCCTTTATCGTCGTTCTGCTCTCAGGCTATAACTATCCTCATTCTGGAGTTTAAGTGAACGTTGACCCGCACATAGCGATAAAAATTATCACTGGCACTTGGAACTACATCAAGTGAAGCACCGTCGTAAATTTTCCTTGTGGACCAGGTGTCGACTTCGGTGGATTCTGCGATTTATCAGCATTTCCGGGCACCTTCTCGGCCAGGGGGCGACTTATGGGTGCACATGACAACGTAGCTGTTTCTGACTGCATTGATGCTGAGACCCTGGCTGATGTTGCCAGTGTTGCAGAAGTGTACTTGTGCGGTTATGAATATGCCATCGCTGCCGCCGCAAACCAACCTTCTGCCGCTACTAAGCTTGCATCAGCGTTCTCCGTGAATCAATGCTGTCGAGGCTGAAGGAGCTGAATTCGCTTATTTGAAAATATTCAATTATATTCACGATGACTGGAACATGACGGCACGCAAGAAGCGAGACATGTTTACGGACTATTTTCGTGCGAAATAAAGTGCGATAACTTGCAGTTCACACCTTGTCCTTTATTATACTGAGAGCGAATTGTTATGTTAAAGCTTGTAACAATTTCACAGGCCTGAAATGCTCTATTTAGGCCTTAAATACGCATACTTTGTATTTCGAATTATCAATATATCGAACTATTCCGTGATCCCCTTCGAGTTTGGTATATCCAGGATCGACTGTATTCAAGCTTTCAAACATTCAGAGGTGGAAGCAAGCTCGAGTCTTTTGGAGCAGCTCAGGGAGCAGACATAATGTAGTTTTACAACAGCTTTGGAGCAGTAAAAAAAGGCAATTCTGAAGTAGTTAAATGTGTGTTGTTGGGGGTTTGTTCTGACCGCATCTGCTGTGTCCCTTCACTCCAAGAACGTGGTGCGCTCTATAAATATCGAGACCTCACAGACTCTAGGACACACGAGGGTGCATGCTCAGCATGTTTTACACAAATGTGGCCGTTGAAAAAGGCTGTTTTGGTTACAGAAGAGTACCGCTTATAGTGTGGATATTCACGACTCTCGCGACTTACGTTATAAGTGGTCTATGCCATGGAGTTTCATAAAATAATACCGAGAGGGGAATCTGGCACTAGTGTCTATGCGGGCTCCTTCAGCGGCGCTTGTATGTACCCCCACGAGAATTATGGGAAGTACAGGCTTCGATACTGCTTCGTATGGATCACGTGGTTGAGATTCGCGACGCTTGTTTGCCGAGTGTGAAACAAAGTGATATGAAGTCATATCTAATTGGAACTTGCTTAATTTTTTGTACGCAAACTTTATTGCAAAAGGTTTTCGTGACTAGGCAGTAGAAGTGAAACCTGGACAAACTTAACCACCAGAGTTTGCATTGCTCTGCCATTGCATTACAGATTTGACACCAAGATGTAATGAATTATTTGTTACAACATTTCGGAACAATATTCTTGTTTTGCACTCAAAAGTACACAATATCTATTTATGGAAATAACAGCACAGTATTAAGTGAGGAACACCTAATGTTTCGTCTGCTGCTACGCCAGGTGCGTCTGTTCAAGTGGTCTGCCCCCAACGCACCTCTTGTTTTGTTGTGAAGTGGAGTCGGAAGAGTGTGGTGGTGCGTCTACTTTGCGTCGTAGTCATTTTGCAGTTGATGGCAAGACGCAGCAACAACAAATGTGAACTCAATGTAATATCCTGCACTGGCATAAGGCGCTACATCTATGTGCAGTGGTGAGTGGACGAAGCTTCGCTTAAACTGTCAAACGTGACTTGTAGAGCTCCAGCATTGCAGTAAATAGAGAGGCCTAGCAGTTTTAAGCTTCTTTGAACAACAAAGGCGCAGCTTTAGTCCTTTGCACCCACTCCACTACTTACTCTACGTGAAGAATGAAACTGAAACTGTAAAAAAAGATCTATAGACAGTTTGCTAGCTAACACGATCTAATCCGAAGCCTGCACTTCCCATAATTCCCATGAGGATACACGATCACAGTGCCAGATTCCTCTCTAGTTATTATTGTATGAAACTCTATGGTTATTCTGTATATACCCATAAAAAAGGATGGGGGCACGGCCACTACCTTAGCTTCATTGGTAGAACATCAGACGCGTTATTCAAAAGTTGCAGGTTTGGTTTCTGCTGGCGGCAAGTTATCTTTTCGTTGACTTTACTTTCTTAACACTCACAACACAATTACTACAAATAACATCCCCAACACTTTCCTTGGCTTTGTTGCAAGTTAATTGAAATTAATGTTGAGTATAAAAAAAAGCCCTTAAAATTCCTTCATTCCAGCATGAGTGGGTGTGGCAGAGGTGCCGGCACACACCTAAAGTGGCAAACTTGACGGGCGTAACATGAGGCGTGACGCAGGTGCCTTCAACCAGGTCCAATGCAGTGAGCTGCCCAAACGAGCTACTAGGGCTGCGCGCTGCTGTTGCAGTCTCTAGCTCCTCAACGTTGATGTCCCTGCACATGGAATGCAAGTTGGCCATGACACAGAGCAAGCAACAACCTCTCAAAGTTCGAGCTCAAGAATGTAAAAAAGAAGTTTTAAAGTATAGTCCCCCCTTGACATTTATCCTTATATACCAAAGTCATAGAGAAAAGCATATAAAAATTGTAGAGCTACTAGCTTTGAAGGAACACAGCACATTCTGCTCATTTATTGTACACATATGTATGCACACATATGTATGCACCATATACCTTACAAGGCCCCCCTTGTGATCACTATAATCTTGTGATCATTCACAGCAGTCAATGAGGTTGGTGTGCCCCTGAGTAACAGCAAACAAAAACACATGCCCGTTTCCTTTTGTCACACAAAAGCAGCCACGAAGTCCACATTACTGGTTCTCCATGTTTCTTGCCCATAAATCGTGGCTGATATAGATACAACACTTCAAGACTGAATCCACAAGATTGTACTGCACCATCATGTAAGAGACGGTAAGTGCACTCACTTGAGTGGCGAAAGGAGGTCATTGATGTCGATGTATTCCGAGCCACTGCCATTGTCACACTTGGTTCGGTGCGATGTTTCTCCTTCTATTTTGATCGGCTTCACATCTGCGCCCGACGTGGTCAGCACGGCAGCAAACTCTTCGGGCTGCCACAGAGTCTCGGCAGCGGGCATGACGACCGAAGCAGAAGCAGATGTCATGTGGTAAGACACACATTTGGCAGGAAGCCCATACTCCTCTGCACAATGCCAACATACAAGTGCATAAACTTTCATTTCCTGCTCACCCTCGAGATGAAGGGCATGCAAAAAAACCTTTTAAGAGGACTGACAATTGGACGAGTTCATATGGATTCGTATTACTAAACAGCACACCAAAGTATGACAGAAACACGGAGGAAGACAAAACACAAGCCCCATAGTTTCAACAGAACTTTCATTCATATGTGTAGAACGTAATATGCAGGGCAGCCAACGGTCAGAGTTTATTATTTTTGTTTTTATTTAACAATACTGCAGGCCTTTGTACAGGCCCATATAGGTAGTGTATACATGGGCATGGGAATAGCAAAACAAAAACGCCTCAACAGATAATGCATACCTGCCAAGTTCAAGGATGCTGAATCCGGGAGATTTCCACAACAAGTGGGGGTGGGTGTGTAGGGGGGAGGAGGAAGCACTGGATTATTTTCCCCCATTTATTTTCCCACAAAAAAACAAGAAAGAAAAAAAGACATCCAGCAAAAGCAAGAGCGAGGGGGTCCCAATCACAAGTGCCAAGAGCGACGTTGCGGTCTTATAATGAATGGCTTGGAGTGGCTGAACACACAAGGTAGGTTTCCCACTAAGGTGAGAGTCTCAACGGGCAGTGCAAATACTCCCAAACATTTCGCGTTATCAAATCAAGAAGCAAAAATTTCATTTCCGTCAAAACAATTCGTGTATTTCTTTCTGGGACACACGTGAATGGACGGGACGGCGCAGCTGGCTGCCACGAAAGCACGTGTCAAACCTTTGGCTTTGCTCGCTACTAGATTCTTTGGTCAGGAACACAAAAAGGCTTCTAGCCTTTTTTTTTTTTTTTTCATGTCTTTACTGTCTTCAATCTACCACTGCATTAGCCACATGTCCTCGGAGCTCATAGATCACTATCGCGTCGCCGCGACTGTGGTTTTGTGCGCATACTTGTGCGTATACTGTGTGTACTTTCCTGATGTTCTGCCCATTCAGTGTGTATACTCAATGTGTATACTTTATTTGTGTTATATTTGATGCGACTAAATGTGATTTAGTGTGACTTTATGTATTGTATTTTATCTTGTGTTGTACTCATTCCCTTGCTGTGCAAGATGCAGTATTTGTAAATAAATAAATAAACAAACATGCCGTATGCTAGTATACAAGCAGTATAGTTGGCATAAATGATGGGGGGGGGGACAGAGAGTCTTGCCTTTTCTTGTGTTCAGGCTGGGGAGGACACCACTTGCAAGTGTCCAACTTGAGATTTATCTTTGGCACGTGATATGATTGAGTTAACAGTTGAGTATAGCACAATCAACTTTTCAAAAGGCTGTTTATCTTTTACTGCCTATTTGCATTGAATGCCTCTCAGCTGTGCGAACTATGGAAATCGAAAAAAGGTGAAAAAAGAGACTGCATAGAACAATGCAATTGCTCGAACTTGGACCCCATGCTGATTTCAGAAATTTTATTTTGAAAGCGTGGTTTAATTCTTTTATAAATAAAGATACAAACCATATGAAGAATACGAATTGGACACCATGGCCTGATATGTGTCGCCCCTTGAGATTTTTATGTATTTACGCCACTGAGTAGCACACTAGGATAATATGATAGTGTATACAGCCTGCTTTTGGTTTCGCTTAGGCTCACGGGATGGTCCCATAGTTCAACTTGTTCTTTTTTAGTTTGCCAACATCCTTTCAGAGCAGGTTTGGAGCAGTTACGAGCAAATATTGCACTTTGATGCAGCATGGAGCAGCATTTCTACTTTGGAGCAGTTTGGAGCAATTGGAGAAGCACCACCACTGCATTGCCCATTTGTTGTCAATTTACTTCTTTCGAAATGACACACAGAAACTGCAATATCAACCTTTTTTTCTTTCTTTCGTCCCTCCTTCCTTCCTTCTTTCCTTTTTATTTCATTTCATTTATTTTAACTTCAATTGCACATAGTTTTACAGAGGAGAGTGGGGTACAAAAAAATAATAAACTATAAACAAGAGCAAACATGGTAACATCAACATAATAAAGATTAGAAGATATGAAAATTCAATGTTAGGCAATACACTGAATGTATGTGTAAGTATCATCAGAAACATGGGGGAAACAGAGTACAATAATTTATATGTACAATATACACTTCACGTGTCATCACGTAAGTACTTCTGTACTATAGAAGAAAACAAGCCATGATTTGAAATGGAAACCATGTCCGAGAGAAGGTGGTTCCAGTTGTTGGATGTGCGCGGGACGAAGGAATGATGGAAAGTGTTAGTGCGGCAGCTAATGACGTGTACCTTATGCTGATGATCTAAACGGGCTGAGTAATAGGATGGAGTGGTAATGAACTGATCTTTTAAAAGTGGATGATTGAATATCTTGTGGAAAAGTATGAGACGAGATGCTTTGCGACGTGATTCAAGTGACTGTAGTGAAAGGATGCGTTTCATTGACGTAACACTGCTAGTGCGATGGTAGTTAGATAGAATGAAGCGTGCTGCGTTATTCTGTACCATTTCAAGCGAGTGAGTTAAGTTCAGTTGAAAAGGGTCCCAAATGGAGCGCGAATATTCAAGCTTTGGACAAACTAGTGTTTTATACATTGTTAGTTTCACAGCTTGAGGGGCACGGCTAAAGTTGCGTCGTAGGTACCCTAACATACGGGACCTATTGCTAATAACATAGTTAATATGATGCTTCCAGTTCAAGTTAGATGTTACATGAATCCCCAAGTATATATACAAAGTTACAGACTCTAGATCAGTGTCATTTAAGATGTAGCTAGCAGGTGGTCCGGTAGTTCGTGAGATACGTAAAACTTTACATTTGTTAGTGTTGAGGTCCTTGTGCCAAGTTCTACACCAGCTGGCAATATTATTAATGTCACTTTGCAAAGAACTAGCGTCAGAGTTAGATTAAATTTCTCGGTAAACAACGCAGTCGTCTGCGAAAAGGTGAATTGAAGAAGATACGTCAGATAAATCGTTAATATAAATACGAAATAGTTAAGGGCCCAACAAAGAACCCTGGGGCACACCAGAAGAAATGGGAGAAGAGGGTGAGCTGTAGTTGTTAGCAACAATGATTAATTAGTGAGCAATTAATTAGGAAAAACTCGATCTAAGCAAAAATGCCGCCATCAATATTAAGGCTCCTAAGATTATATAGTAGTAGGTGATTATTAATCTTGTTAAAAAGCATTCGAAAAATCTAAAAAAATGCAGTCGACCAGTGAACTCCGATCTAGAATGATGTGTAACGAATGGGTAAACAAAGCAACTGCATTTCACATGAGAATGACTTCCTAAATCCATGCTGTGACGTGCTAAAAAACGAATTTGATTCTAGAAAGGTGACCAAGTTAGAGAAGATTAGGTGCTCCAAAAGTTTGCATGGTATAGAAGTAAGTGAAATAAGTCGGTAATGAGGGACAGAATACTTGTTTCCTGACTTGTGTACCGGAACCACCTTTGCCTCTTTCCAAACGCGTGGCACCACACCTTCATTCAAAGACTGTTGGAATATTTTGCACAAGAATGTAGATGAGGTTGTTTAGTTTCTTTAAGGATTCTTGCGTTTATAATGTCAACACCACAAGCAGAGGACACTCTGAGTGATTCAATTACTTTTACAATTCCATGGGCCTCAGTCACTATAACAGACGTTGATGGATAGTTGCGTGCTGGTAAAGAGACGGTAGCAGAAGTGGACGACACTGAAAAGTTCTGGACAAAAATTTCGTTCAGATGTGCTGCAAACATTTCGGAAGACACGGGAGGCCATCCGACTCAACAAGTACAATTTCACTGTCGGTGTTTGTAATAGTTTTCAAAAACTTTCTAGGGTTGCTAACAAGCATTGATGGCAGAGTGTTAGATAGAAAGTTAGCCTTAGCATCCGAAACTGCTGACGAGTAAACTCGCGCAGCACTCTCGTAGGTGAGCCAGCATTCCTTCATACTCTGGAGTTTCGCAGCACGAAACAAGCGTTTCTTTTTGTTAGAAAGTCGCTTTAAGTATGTATTGTACCAGGGTGAGCAAGAGCTCACAGGTATAGACTCTAAGGGAACAAAGGTGCGAGTAGGTTCGTAGATTTTGTTAACAAACAGATCCCAGTTTTCCTGCACGGTTCTATTATCAAAGTCATGTAGATAAGCGTCGTAAAATAGAGAGAGTTCAAGTCATTGCCTCAAAGTTTGCAGCATTGTAGTTATAGATAACCTTGCGTTTCTTAGTAGCAGTTGGCATGCTGTTGCGTATGTAAAAATGTAGCAGACAGTGATCGCTGAGACCAGGAAGCGAGTTTAGTGCATGAATGTTCTCGGGCATTGTTGTAAAAATCAAGTCAAGAATGTGCAATGAAGAACTGGTGACGCGAGTTGGGTTATTCACCATTTGCGTAAAATTAAACAGGTTGCAGGTATCAAGAAAGCATTGGCCATTTGAAGAAAATGGTACGACTTCTGGTAACGAAGACGCCCACATTATGGTAGGATAGTTGAAGTCGCCGAGAATAGTTATCGAAGAAGATGGGTACCGCGTTGTAATTTCATTAATGTTATCCTGAAACTCCTGAACAAAGCTGATGTCTGTATCTGGAGGGCCGTAACAGACGCCAAGAACAAGCATTTCATTATTCACAACCACCCTGCACCATTTCGCTTCCAATGTAGACGTCACGTTTATAAGAAAGGACTTAAAACGCTTTGAAATGGCAAGCAAAGTACCACCACCATGTCTTCCATCTCTATCGCGGTGGTAAATGTTCAACGATTCGGAAATAGTAAAATTTCGTTATCGCAAACATGAGCATTCAACCAAGTCTCGGTCACGGCAATCACATCGGCTTCACAAGAGTCGATAATAGCGTCAAAAGCGCCACGCTTTCCCATTATACTACGGATGTTCGTGTAGAGCACCGAAATAGGACGTGATATGATACTGCCACTTTCCCTTGCTGATTGTTATGAGGAGGCATTAGATGTCCGCGCACGTGA